GGTTGGGCCTCGCCTGAGCTGGTAGCACTTCAGCAGCAGTAGCAGTAACTGCAGCAGTGGTGGTGGAGGTTGTGGTGCTGCTATTGCTGCTGCTGCTGCCGCGGTGGTGGAAACAGTGGTCGTTTTTGCCTCTTGCATGGCTGATGGTCGCGAAGCAAGGTCGATGGTCTTTTTGTCACTCGTGCTCGACAAGTCAGACGAGGTGTTCGATGGTCTACAAGATGGTGAATGCAGAGACAATTGATCAGTGGTAGTAGTAGTGGTGGTGGTACTTGGTAGTGGAAGTGGTAGTAGTAGTTAGCAGCGGTGGAAGTAGTGGTAGGATTAGGATTAGGAGTTAGAGTAGGAGTATCATGGAGTATCAGGGTTTAGAGCCACGACTGCGGTCTCCGTGTCCTAGGTAGTGGTCAGAAGTAAAGGCTGTGCAAACGATGCTGCATGTCGTCTTGGCGCACCATCGCGGCAGTACTGCTACTCCTCCTCCTCCTCCTCCTACACCCACTCCCACTCCTACTGCTACTGTACTGCTACTGTACTGCTACTGCTAATAGTACTGCTACTGCTGCTACTATTGCTGCTACGACGCAGCTACTGCTACTACCACTGCACCACTGCTACCACTATACCACCACTACTATTACAGCTGCTGCTACTAAAACATAAAACCTGCCACGACCACGTACCGGTACACGACAACATTGACGGCATCGGCATTGCTCAGCAGCAGCAGCAGCAGCAGCACTCATGCAGCCACGCAAGATGCGCGCATGCAGTAGGCTTGGGATTTGGGTCTTTATCGTTCTCGGGCGCTGATCGGTGCCTCGGCCAGGGTCTTTGCTCCCTCAGGTGTGAAGCGCCAGAAGTCCTGAGGAGATCCGTGGATCTGACTGAAGAGCGGGGCGGACCACGCAAGCAGCCCACCTCGGCGAAGCGTGCTTGCAACAGCAATTTGATGCACTATTCTGCCGTCACAAAACCTGCCTGGGCCCAGCAGTCGGTAAAGCTGCTGCATCGCAAGCCACGGCTTCAGCAAGTGCTCAAAGACCTGTGAACAGATCACCAAGCCAGTAGAATTTTCGGGCACGACCTGGTCAGCTATGTGGATGTCCAGGAAATAATCGCGTTTCTCACTCTCGTTGTTGACCCGAAGCTGGGCATGTCCATCGCCGAAATACGTAATTACGTCAACGACATCGCAATGTTTGGAGAAGTAGAACCGACTCTGTGCACCAGAATCCCACTCCAAACATCGCCGCAGCCTCAGTCGTGGTGAAAGCACCGTGCACCCCCGGACACAACATAAGCTAGTGATGCAGGTTATTGCAGAGTAGTGCTGAGCTAGCGGCTGCTTAGCCCCATGTTCCACGAAGATCTCATCCGCAGACACAGTCTCAGACACGTGCTGCAAAAACTTTGCCATTTGCTTGCGCTCGAAGGTGTGTTCGTGTCCTGCAGGGTTGCCACCGCGATTTTCTGCTCGCATTTTCCAAATAACGCCAAACAAATGATCTTCCACATCCATAAACCATGGATGACGAAGTGGAAGGATCCCAATATCCCAGCTTGCTTGGTAAAACCTGGCAAAAGCCTCTTTGGCACAGTCCTGCGGAGCTAGACAGCGGAAGCGTCCTCTCCCGACATGCTCTTGCGTATGGTTGTGATCCAGGGCTTGCAAGAACAAGGCAAATTCATCATCATCAAAATTAAGAAACTTTTGTAGAAGCACAGGCTCCGCTGAAGGTGGCACACCCGCTCTTCCAGGCACCTGTGAGCAGCACATCTCCGCTGTGAATTCACCACCCCAGCATCCAGACCAGCCAAAGTCACAACACACGAGGTACCAGGATTCTGCTCGTCCGCCCATACCCTTCCAACAGTCCACGTCTAGTGTGACTGAGCTTTCTTTGGTATTGGTAGCGGGCGCCCTTACAGACTCCGTGGCGTTGTAGGAGAGCCAGTGTCCCACTGTCATGGGCCAAGCAAGCGTCATGTCTGCGGACAGCAGTGACGATGCGCTCCTCGGAATTTCCCAAAAGTCCTGCCAAGGCTACTCTTCCTCTACGATCTCTATGATATGACTTTTGTAGCGTAAGGGCATTGCACATGAGGGTGCTTCTTCTGCGTACCTCAGCCGGGGAGTACTCCATGTCTTCGAGAAGTTGTACCCACTGACCGAAGGCCACATCAGCCGGGAGGTCCACCTGGCAGTTGGAAACTCCATCCGGCCTGCCGATTCCCGCTATTTTGGCGGTTCTCGGTCCCGGTTGTAGAGAACAGTGATTTCACCTTCCCGACCATGGCCCGACAAGGTGGCCGCTGGATTTTTTTCCCTTGTGGACTTGACCAGGCTTGCTTTCAGTTGATGCTTGCAACGGCGAAACAGATCCTTACTTATCGTCACGCCTCACACTCCAAAGTGCCTAGGTCCAGAATCCAGCATCCAGAACGGAATCCTAAAGCCCGAGAACCATGTTACGACACCAGGATCTCCGAAGTCGGGGAATGGTACAAACCAGCCTGTGACAAGCCATCTGCTTCGAGCGCAAGCTCTGCGACAAATCGTGCCACATCGGCAGAAACAAGGATGCCCATGCCGTGCGCGAAGACTGCTGCACGTCGGCGCCACAAGTACATCCGCCTCTCTCCGGCGAATACAGACTCCTCAGCAGAAGAACAACAACAGACTCCGAAACTCTTTGAATTTGACTGTTTCTGACTGCTGGATTTTCCTACTGATGTGCGTTTTCTGCGTCGGCTTAGCGTCGCGCAGGCTCCGTTCTCTCTGTATGGTTTTGGGGAGATGCACTGCTGCAGTGGGCACTCCGGCCTGCTCCTTCCTTCTGATTCTCCTGCATGAAGTGGTGTGCAGGGGCATGCTACAGTACTACCAGGTGCTGCACAAACACTGTACGATCGCCTCAAGGCCAGACGAGCGTTTACATGCGTGACCTTGTTTCAATGGCTGTTTCCCGAGCCCTAACGTGATGCGTCGTTTACATCATTAATGAAATTAATGGCATCATGGCTGCAGCTCTTCGGAGCCTTGTACTTCTGTGTGACTGATTGAACTTACAACTCACGAGAAGGGGCCAGACAAGAGCAGTCAAACGGCGAGACTTGCTCTCCCCACCTTCAGCGTAAAGCCCAACTGGCCCGATCGTCTCGACAGTAACAACATCAAGCATTACATCAACGTGTCGTATCAACAGCCAGTTGTGCAGACAAGCAGCATCAAGAAGTATGCCATGCATCAGCCTGCCGTCTGAATGCTGTGACAGAAGATCTCATACACAATCCTCCATGATCCTCAATCCTGAGGTGCGGACCGATGTCGAGGCCAGCGGGGCATCTGGGCCAGAAGCTGGGGGACATTGACATAGGAGCGGTGGTCCAGAAGGAGCACGAAGTCTGCTCCCCCCCAGCGCTCCTCAACCAAGCGCCACGCTTCCTCGTAGCGGTAGCAGCCGATCTCGTGCTCTTGGCGGACTTTGCCGGCCTTCTGCGCAGCCTGGCTTGGTCGAGGGAGCCGCGAAGGCCCGAGGCGCACCATGTCTCGGCGCACCAGAATCTCCCGATATGCAGAATGCACACGAGTGTCTGGTAGAAGCCGCGTCATGACAAAGAGCCACTGAAAGTCAGTCTGAAGGGCCTTTCCCGAAGACTCTGAAGACTTGGATCCCAGATTGTACTTCATGAGGCTCAGTGCACGTCGCAACTGCGCACGCAACCGAAAATCTTGCCAGCGAGAGCCAAAGATCAAGATCGCTAACTTGAGGGGAAAGCGATGTGTCTCCTTGCTTCTCTGCTTCCTTAGCTCTTGCTGCGTTCGGCCCAGTCTTGCTAGCTCCTCAACGGTTATCTCAGGTAGGTCCGCCAGATCAGCTAGCTCCGCAGGAGGAGGCTCCAACGGATCAAGCAAAGCAAGGGCTTCTGCCACGGGCTTCACCTTACCACAAACGTGACATTCATATCTGTCGAAGGTTCTCCAGCGTTCCTCCGTCATGCGATGCACAATCACAGCGTCCTGCTGACATGGCCGCGAAAAGAGGCCTCCAAATTCAATATGATCATGAAACCAGATATGGTAGTGCAGGAAGCGAACATCTGCAATGCTCCGAAGCCAAAGACCAACCAGCATGTCGTCGTTGCCTCGCAGCTTGAATGCCAAGCCACGGTCGGCTAGCAGCTTTGCCAGATCCTGCGACACTATGAAGCCCAAGCCGTGCGCGAAAATTGGGAGCTTCGAAGGAGACCCCATGTACAAGTTCACGCTCCTGGCACAACAATGCGGCTTTGAGGCATGGGTGACACTCACACTTCGATGCTTCTGTCAATCTTGCATACCAAGTTTCGTCTCTTGAACGATACGACGCTTTTGCATGTCAAAGCGCTGTGGAACGGTGTCAATCATGTTTCCGACATAGACCTTCCTGGGCGGAAGCATCTCCAGCAGCTCTACTGCGGTGGTGAGGGAAATGAAGTTGTCGTCGTCGGCCACCAACAGATAGTCGTAGCTAACCTCATGCCGCAACCGTCGCAAAGCCACAAGCAGCTTCCACAGCTCCGGGTTTGCCTTCGCCGGAGGTGCAATCATGTAGCTGGCTACCGATAGCAAAAGAAAATGACGTAAAGACTACTCACAGCGAGTTGTGGCCTCCGGCAAGACGTAGGCATCACCGATGTGTCGATACTCGATCTCGTCAGCACCGCCGACCAACATGAGGTCCCCAAATGCCTCCAAACAGTTGGGCCACGTTTGTTCCGGCACTTGCTTGCGCGGCGTTCCAATCTCTACGTAAACGCTGTCATTGCGAGCTTTTGACAACTAGCAAAGATACCAGGATCAACACTTATTTCTTCCCCGAGAGTCACGCGCTGCGTGTGGGCTGTGCTGTGCACGCTTGTCGTCGCACGTCATTGGCCAGGTGTGAGGGTCACCGCTCGTAGCGTTTTCTGGCTCTTGCTGCCAGGCCGGCAGTCTCCCGAATCAGCAGAACTTACAGGCTAGCGTGCCTGCTGTGTGCAACAGTTCGAGGAGTGGTTCTGGCTTGGGGACTATTTCTTGCGACAGAGACCGAGCTTGCATATAAGTTGCTCTTGCTGAAATGCCCACGCACTGCTCTGTGCTACTCATTCGCTTTCGTGGCCTGGAGAGGAACAGGGGGAGGGCGAGATGGCGGGATTGTCCTCTCGCGCGGAAACCGATTTTTCCACGAGCGCATGGGTCGGCACTTTGACAGGAACGGCAGTAGCTACATGTAATGACCTGGTAGAGAATCATGAAGCCATGCCTTGCCTCAGCTTCTCGAAGTGCTTTCCGCAGCAAGGGGTGCTTCTCGGGGTGCTCTCCGGGCAGGTCACCCAGCAGAAACCGCCAAACGACCTCGTTCCCGCGACCTCCCAAACCACGTCGGCACCAGGTCATTCCCTGACGAAGGAGCTGCCGCCGCTGGAAGTTCGGCCATACTGTAGTGACCAGCACGAGCAGGCGCACTGACAACCTGAGCTCTGTAGGGCACTGCTACATACTCGAAGTGGGAACATAGGAGAAAGCAATCTTAGCTGAATGTTCCCGGACTGCGGCGTGCGCTGCCCAATATTCATGGGCACATGGAAACCCATGCAACAAGCAAAGCACCAAGAGAAGGCGCTGCGGTCAAACGAATAAGGTAGCATGCACACACATACACATAGATCGCACCAGATACATAGAGTGTACATGTGTGTGCCATTTCTCCTTCAATTCTGCCCATCGAGGATCCAGGAAATGCCATCAAGGACATGGCGACAACAACAGAAGAACACGCGGACCAACAACGTGGTGCAGAGCGAACATGTGCCCGCTTGTCCTTACTCTTGTATGAACCGTTTCGCTGCGACTATTTGCCTGTTTCAACAGACGGGCCGATGAGGAAAGCAGAATGTGCTTCAGCGTTCTCCAATGCAACGGAGCGTCGGCTGGTTCGCCTTGAAGCCCTCAGCCCGCTCCCTAAGGTGCTTCAAGGTTTCCTGGGCTTCCCGATGTTGCTGGCTAAACTCAGCGCGCCCAATATGAAAATCGGCAATGCAGGTGCTGGGCAGCTGCTCTTGACACCACTTACCATCATCTGGCGTCAGGTCTTCTGGACACAGATCATAAAAGATCCAGTCGTCGCACCGACACAACGATAGCAGCTGTAGCCACAGCTGGACCGCCCAAGACATTCTCTTCTGAATTTGTTCTGAAGTGCTTGAACCCAGCACGTCGAGATCGGTGGATGATTACAGCAGGAACTTGTCAGGCGTGCAAAACTTGGCATCGACAGCACGCGGACAGCACTGTTTCTGAAACATGTGCGGGCGGCGCATCAGCGCTTCGTGTGATGCCGTGACCAGATCTCGCTTTTGTCAGGAGTTAGCCTTAGCGCTCGAACAAACGAGGGACGCAGCTCACCCTGATTGCAGCCGGTCAAGTAAATAATGGTGTGACAAGAGGCAGAGACTTTGTCCTGGCGATGCACAGAAAGAGCTGCCTCAGAAATTGGCAAACCGCCAGCTTACGACATACACGGGCAGAAGCTAAGTTCAAAGCGCCATTTCGGAAGTGAGTTCCGAAGACCTCAGGCTGCTGCTTGCAGCTCTTCAGCTGAATGTTTGACAACAGAGCGTGAGCCTTGGAAATTTCCCCGACGGTTGAGAGCGCCAAAGAGACCTGGCATGCAGTGCACGGAGGGTTCCAAGTTCAAGCACTCTCGCCAGCCGGCCGAAGAGAACATTTTTCACCACAAATACATCTCTCGACACCATGGCTCTGCTATGCTTTGCCTGTGCAGGTACGAAATAGCGATCGATCAGGTTATCACCGACTGTGCCAAGCATGTGGCCCTTACCCTTTTGGCTCCTGCCGAAAAAAGGTTCCCGGGGTGATGTGAAGTTTCAGGTCCAGTCTCTTCGCGACCGAACTGCCACGGTTTATGATGTTCGGGGCGCATGGAGAATGGATGACAGAGGTAGCACGAAAAAGGTGTACAGAAGATGCCAGACTTTCGAGAGTCTGCTTGTGATGCATGCCCAAGTTCCCGCCGGAGCCTTTCCGGGCCATGTTTCGTCACCCTGCTTTCGCCTCCCGCCCTCAGACCCTCTCCTCTGCACGGCAGCGACTCGAAGAACAACACACCAAAGACGACGATAGAGCCTCGCTGCCCAACCTGTTCTCGCAACAGACGAGACTAAGAGCTTCCAGCTCGTTTCTGGGTAGGCTTTGACTTTCAGACCTAAGTACGGACATCTGCAATGCAATGTGCGGCACAAGCCCTGTGAAGCATGATCATTGCTTCATGTAGCTGCACGTGCAGGAATGGCTAGTGGCACTTGCCAGACCAACCTTGCGCCTTTGTTGCTCTACGCTGCTTCTGCGCTTCGTTAGCCTGCCTTCTCTGTATCAACACAACCCGCAGCGCTAGATAAGACGGTGGAAGCCAGTGTAACAGTCTTGTGCGTCTTGTGGGGAAGAGTGGTGCGTGTTGAAGCAGTGATCGAACCCACGGCCCGGTCGCAGACGGGGGGTGGGCGAATGCATTGATACAGGAGCTGGTATCTGGTAACAGCATGCAGGAGGCCTGATCAATTTTGACGATGAGGTCTCCCTCAAGAAGGCCTTGGCCTGCGTTCTGCAAGACTGAGAACCGACTGCTTTGCCAGCCCTTGAATCGCGCCTGGCTCATCCTGGACTTTCCTCAAGATGCGGGAAGCATCACAAGCTATGCATCGCGCTATGGGAGTTCCGGGATACTTGCCGGACACGCATGCCATTCAAAGGCCTGAGCAGGTTCATGCTCATGCACATTTCAGAAACTGACTGTGGTGTTTGTTGCTTCTAGGGGAGAGGTGAGGGATCGCCAGATTCATGGCAGCAAAACACAAGCATTACCTTCGAACTCCAGGATACCCTACCAGTACAAGAGATCCTGCAGCTTCTCCCAGGAAGACAAGGAAGTGTCGACATCCGCAAACATGCCCGAACTGGGGTTGCTGCATGGGCTGCAAGTCCAAACCGGCCTTGCCCTGCAGAGGCATAGAGAGCACAAACCTTGGGTCTCTAGGAAGCGCGCAGAGCCTCCAGAACATTCAGGGTAACATCCACGTCGGCGGTCCCTGCTTGCACAGTCGCTCAGATTGCAAGAGTTCCTGGCCTACACGCCAGAACTCGACATTACATGGGCCGCCCCTCGAACCTCGAGCGTTTGTACCTGGCTCTCTTGCCTTAGCACAGTCGAAAACAACTTAACAAAACGCATGAGACGCGCAGGCTGGCTGCGGTCGAAGCGCCAAAATCGTCCTTTAGCATACAGAATCCCGGAACACACAGCCCTGTCGAGTCTTGGCGGATCTCACGGGGTGCTTTAAGTTACAGACACAACCTCGGCTCCCAGCCACTTTCTCCGGGGTGTGTTTTGCGGCTCCATCATTGATCCCACTCGCCTCGAAAAGGTCATCCGAGGTCGTCTGCTGATTGAGTCACAGCTGTGGCCCGAGCTCGACCGGACTCTGGCGGATAACCTGCAACAAACTCTGTCCTCCAAGCAGGCAGAGGGCATAAAGATTGTGCCTCGCCGACCGGGTCGAAACTGCCTCGATCTTTCCATACGGACACTTGGAAGCTCGTGGGTTCATGCTTTGAAACTTACTTGCAGCACATGCTACACAATGCATACTGCATCGGACATTCAGTACTGCTGGTTTCAAGGTGGCCGAAACCGAGGGACTGCTGCAATGTCGATGACAGGAAAGGCTTTCCGCTGCGTCCGCAGGTCGAAGGTTTCTTCATGTTTCTGCCCACTCTCAGCAGGCAGTTGTGTCACCCCCTGTCCCTTGCTTCGGTCACACTTGACCGCCTCCTGCCCATGTCTTGTGTCCCCCGTTAAAACCGTCCCTATCTTCTGCTCCTCTTGCTTGCTTGCCTGCGAACAAAAGGGAGAAGGAGCTGTATGGGCAGCAACCGTTCATGGTAAACTGAGCTTAGCCAGGGATCCACCATGCATCCAAGTACCCAAACAAGCATGAAACATGACATGAAAGCTCACACTGTGTAGCGTCTGCCACTTCGCAAGCCAAGGTGTGGGCCTGGTGACATCAGCTCAAGCACTGCTTGTCTCTCTTGCTTGTTTGCTTGCTCAGGGGTGTAGGGGCTGCGCGCAACCCCTTGGCCTTCGGCCCCTTCCGGGGAGTGGTGAGTACGTTCCCCTGAGTGCCCGCTCGGCTTGACCTAAAGGCCATTACCTTATGCAACTTGCTTGCTTGCTTGCGTGCGAAGGGGTGTGGGTCGCCGGGGAGACCCTGGCCCGAAGGCCTACCCCCACAACGGTTCGCGACAGTTCGTCTTCAAGGCCCTCTCAAAGGGTTGACCCCGCCGCAACACAACATGCAACTCTCTCTCTCTCTCTCTCTCTCTCTCTCTCTTCTTAAGCAGGGCGTGGGAGGCGTGTGAAGCCCCCCGGCCGCTTGGGCCCCCCATGTGTTATGGGGCGTTTGGAAAGGACGTGAGATTAACAATGAGTCCCCCTTGCTTGCTTGCTTGCGAAGGGGTATGGGTGCAAGCACCCCGGCCCGAAGGCCAACCCCCCCACGGTTCGCAATCATCCAAGGTCTGACAGGCCCCTTCCGGGGTGAGAGATTGTCTCGTTCCCCCACCTGTGCTTGTAACCCATCCCCCCAAAACACCCCTGCTAAGACCATCACCATAACCAACCTGCAAGCACCAGGTGGATCATCCGAGGTCCCTCCAGAAACGACTACGCGAAAGTGGCCTTTTGCCGGGACGTCTGCTAAAACAACAGCCAACTATTCAACAGGAACCAATACCCTAGTTTGCATCAATCGTCCCTTCTTTCGCGGCCCTTTGAGCTCCACTCTTCAGGGCTTTCCAGCGGGCACTGTACCCCCACGCTGTCGTTCATTGTTCCCTAACGAGTCCCCCTCTTTCTCTCTCTCTGCCAAGCATGAAGAAGGATGCAGGTCAGGGCCCCCCTCTCCACATGCACACACACGGGCAACTGCTGCGTCCCGGCAGGTCTTCTCCCGTGGCTTGACCCCTGCAGAGCAGAGCTACACGACTGTCTAGGGCGCATTAGGGCGCCGAGAAGCAATACTTGAGGCTTTCCCCATGCTGCAAACACAGCAGACACGATGCAACGCTGAAGTGATTTCAAGGACAGGTTCGAATACCGCTCCCTCCGGTTGGCTCAACAGCAAACACAAGCTGACGTTGTTTTCTGCTTCTGTCCTCTCTGCATCTGCAGGGCTCTTGTTCTGCAAGGGCACGCAGATGCGGACCGGAGCATGAAGATTCGCAGCAATGGGGGTCGGGGAGACCAAAATCAAAATGGCTGGGAGCACAACAAAGTGAACCCCATAGCCTGGAAAGAGGATGGAAGAGGAGGGCAGCATGAAAAAGCGTTTGCGCATAAAGCAGGAAAAAGAAGATAAGCGTAAACACACTAGTTTTTCGACGTAAAGCCATGGAGACACGGAGATGGAAAGCGCCCAACACAAAACAAATGATTAAAACAAGCGTCCTAATTTCATTCATGGACATGCATGTACTGGCCTGGAATCCTAATGGAGGCAGCGTTCATCGTGATATCGCGGCAAAAACTGCGATGTTTGCATTCTGCCTCACATATTCTGAGAAGCCGTCGGGTTCTGTTAGTGAAAAACCTCGCCTCCTGCCTGCTCGACAACAGACTTTGCTTTGGAAGAGCCTTCCTCTAAAGGTATTCATTCGCACGTAGCTTCCGATGCCGCCAACAGAGAAGGGATAGCGTCTGCCCGGCCCTGTTTACATTGCGATCGGTGCTGAGAGCAGCGCAGGATTTGCAGCAGCGCGCCGCGTGCCGCCTGCAGGATAAGCTGGCGCACGTCCACCGGCTCACAGCGCTGAGTCCGTCCGATGCCTCTCTGTCTACGTTCTTGGACCAAGTCACCTCCACCTCCGGCAGCATGATCACGCATGCATGGCCCCCATGCCAGTGGCTGTGCCACGATGCCCCACAGGCCCGGCCTGGCGTTTCTTGAGTTGCGCGGAAACCTTAAACCTGGTCATGAACTTCCTCAGTCGCAATTCGGGGATGATGCAGAAACTCTTTCCCTAAGGCCATACTTACACACTGCTGTCGCACATCGCGTGCAGCCAGAGGTCTGCAACTCGCGTCGGAGCTCTGCCACATTGGAGGGCTCGGCATCTAAGTCAAAGCACTCGATGTCGCCCTGACGTAGACCGCGCAAAGGCCGAGTGCGATTTCGAATGCAAACAAGCATTCAAGCGAAAGCCTCCAGACTGTTGGGCTTCAGCGCCCTTAGCCGTAGCCACTGTGCAACAAAACACACATTCATTCAACACACACCGACAGTACTGCCCCTGCGGCTGCATCCGAGACACGAAGCCGAGCGACTGTCCATCTGGATCCAGCTGTGCTTCAAGCAATCATCCAAGCCAAGTCGGTCCTGCGTGCTGCTGCAATGCAGGCGTTTCCATAGGAATTTTACATGCAGGGCTTCTGCGCCAGTATTGCATCCTGAGATGCTACAGGATGCTACAGGGACTGCGCTCGGCAGCGTTCCATTCGCACAGCTAGGCAGCGTCCACGTCCTCCGGCCGTACTTGGATCAGAGCGCGGATCAGGTCTTTGGCCTGGCTTGGGGAGGAAGGAACATGATGGAACCAAAAGGGCATAAAACGACCCACAGGGACCTGTCCCGTTCACATTTTTGTTCTAGGGTCGGGTCGAGATTAAACTGCTCCCATCTGCTCCCTGACACGGCATCGATCTTACAATACAAGTATCGTGCATTCATTGGGATGGGAGCGGTTCGCTGGAGCGTCAGCTTGAGAATCCACCAACGAGCACTTACTCCGGAGTACTCCCCTTACTCATTACTCACTCACTTCTCCCTCGCTCACCCACCCATAGTCACACGCATGGAAGCCTTGACCTTGAAGCGATTTCCACTGAGCTACAGAATGTCCAATTGCAAATGCATGTTTCGGGCCCCGGGCCCTCGACGAGGTTGGCCGATGAAACCTGAAGCTGGCCTTGCATCGGCCAGGATGGCAGGAAACTCCAACGCCTTGTGCCCGGTCCTGCTTGATCTGCTCCTCGCCACTGAAAGGGTACACACCCTCCAGCATGACCTTCAGACATACAATCCTCTCATGATGCTGCACACCGTCAAACTACATGACAGCAAGATCATCTTGGACAGTTTTGCACCAGGTAAACAAAACCGAACGGCTACAATGCAGCTGGCCTCAGGACTGAGGCCGGAGCATAGAGCACGACGCCCAGACTCCAAAGCTGGCACCAGGGACTCTTGCACGTTTTCTTGCTATGCGCGGTGCAAGCTGGCAAGCTTGGAAAGGCAAGCTTGGAGCATCTTGCTCAGCAACAGTAGCTCTAAGTCTCTTACAAGTCTCTTGGCCACAGATCTGTCTAAAGGGCCGATGTCCATGAGTCCCAGACATCTACTCGCTCGTCGTAGCCTTTTGCACAGACGCCAGCATCTGAAACCTTGCAGCAAAACAGACTCCGCTTTGAACATGAATAATGCAGCGGAGCTCACCTCGGGTGCCCAGTACTGGGGGGTCCCAACCTGCCGATGGCGAGGCTGACATGTCATCACGAAGCCTTGTGCGCAACAAAAACGGGCCTGGGTGAGAGCAGTGCTGTAGCCGTCGTCCACCAGCTGCACACAACATAAGGTGCAGCTTCTCAAACAGTTAACAAGGCATCGAAGACGAAAGTCCTTCGCGTAACCGAAATCGGTGATCTTCACCTCCAGCCTTTGAGCCACCCGGTTAGTCTGTTCCATCGACAAGCAAAGAACTGTGTGCCAGAAAGGTGGACCAAAGCGCTCAATACTGCATACAGTCTTCATCATGCTCGCGCTTTCATGCGGAAAGTGTTCTGCGCATTGAGAAGAAGGCCACGAAAGCCAGCGGAAGGAAGCATAGCAGAGAAAGCATGGGGCGACTGAGTGAGACATTCCATGGATGTGTTTAGGGCTGGCGCTGTCTGCCTCCAAAGGTTCCAGTGGGCCGGGTCAAGGACACATTGTCAGTGATGTGCTCCACAGCAGGTGAGGCAGCCCGCCGTCTTTTCATGTCTTTTCTAAATGCGAACAGTTGCCGCCAAATAATTCGCTTGAAAAAGATGCAGAAAGCTGGTTGAAACTAACGCCGATCTTGCAAGGACGAGACAACATGTATGCACCGCGCAAAAGCAGTCTAAACACGCTGGCCAAGGTGCCTTCAGGTAGGGGATGGGGGTGGTCTAAACGGGGGGGACGGGCCGTGGGCCCCCGCCTCACAATGCCCCACAACCACCTTTTGTGGGACGGGGTGGGCCTCCCCAGCGCCTCTGAGTCAATCGTGTATGTGGTGCTTCCACCAAACCTTACCTGTGCTCAGTAGCCCTTCTGCGGCCCAGGCAAGCCATCTCGGGATGCCTCTCACGTCTTGCAGACAACTAAGGCTGCGAAAGCATTCTAGGACCAACATGTGAGTAATTCAATTTGTCGAGCCTTCTGATCCACGAGAATATTCTCCGGCCTGAGACAGCACACGATAACACTAGGAACAAGCTCGAACTTGTTTGGGGCGTGCAAGTTTCATAGCCGGCTAGATTTGGTAAATGTCTGTGGGTCAGTCGAGATGTTAGGTTTTCTCGGGGCCGACGGCATCCAGAAGCTCAAACGGCGGGGGTCGATTCGGCACATCCCGGCACTCATGGTGCCAGAAGAACTTGAGCAGCTTGTGGGCGCAGGCTGGGTTAAGTCGTTGGTAGACTAGCCGGTTGGAGATTTGACGCGGACTTGATTCCCAATCAGGCCCAATCACTACACCAATCAGAGGTGACGAGTGCACAAGGTTCAGGCTGCCGCAAGTAGGGAAGACAGGAAAAGGAGCCAGGCTTGCAGATCGCTAACCGCTTCCCATTTGTGGCGTTTGTAGAAAGCTGTTGGATAATCGACTGAACATGTCCGCTTTGCCGAGCCGAGCGCTTCAAGTCTCTGTGCACCAGGCCCTGCAGAAAGCTGCAAACTGCATGCATAAGACATGAAAGAGAAAGCACAGCAAGAACGTGGGTGTGCAAATAACACATGCACGATCAAGACCAGGAATGGCCCAAACATGCCCCAAATCACCCCAAATTAGAAAATCTGCCATCTGAAGGATCTGAAGGTCTGCACCTCAATCGCGCTCTCTCTCCGAGAATCGGCTTGCTGCACCCTATGGAAGTACTGAAAGTCTGCGCCCTGAACCGCATGCACTTCCACACGATGTCAAACCGTGAAGGACTTTTCTAGACATGCTCAGAGTGTTCTCCAGGCTTTGCTCTTCAGAACGTCAGAACACATGAACGAGGCATCTGTCGATCGTCGCATACGAAACCCTGAAATCCTTGCGGATGATTGGCGAGATCTAGCCTAGCGCTCAAAACCAGCAATGTCGAAGCATCAGAATTGCACGGTTTGAAAGGCTACTAGTAACTTCCAATAGGCTGGACTGGAGAGACAGAGCAACGATCGAACCTCTGATGCTGAATCACATTCCCCTATGGCCTTGGAATGGATGTACCTCAACCTGGAAAGAGCCAAGTCGTGTCATGCCATGACCAGATGGCCGGATTGCAACTGCCGCCTGAGGCACGGACGCATCTGCTACCTGTTTGAAGACAGAGCGCGCCTGCAGCGGGCACGGCGGGCAACTGTGTCTGCATCATGGAAATATCTCAGATGTGATTGCTGACATTCGCACGCGGACAAACCGAGCAAAGTCTGAAGTGAGATGTGCCACTGTTTGCGGCAAAGCTCCCCGAGCACTGTTGTGGCTTTGCCATCCCTTGGATAGTCTTCGACGCCTCAGGCTCTGAGAGGTGCTTGTTCTCGTGTTTGACGATGATGTCGAAGAGCTCGCCCCCCTGCCAAGCGGCATGTTGTGACGAAGCACTGACTCCCACGAAGAGGCCCTCCACTCGTACCGGACCGGGTGCAGGCATGTGCCTCCACCAACTCCATCACCAGGTACAGCCACTCCTTTGTCTCGATGACGTCGAACAGCTGCCTTAAGAATGCGATAAGAGCGTCAGTCCGCGGTTTCTTGGCATTGCGGCTTGAACAGCATCATGCTGCTGAGGCCAAGCTGTCGTGTCCCTTGTCAACGCACAAAGCTGGAGAGATCGGCAGGATAAACCACATCTCGAAATTTGAAAAACTGCCGAGTGATTAAAGATAACGGATTCATCACTCTGATTGCAGCTTAGGCCGCTGTCCTAGCCAGACCATTGAGGTGTGGAGCTGCAGCTCGTGATTGAACAAGCACACGTGCGCGCAAACGTGTACACGCACAAGCAACTAATTAACACGCATACCAATAATTGATTGCTGTTCAGTTGTTCGCATGTTGCTATTATTTCTATGTTTATAAACACGCATTAGATATAGATGTGTGTGTGTGTGTGTGTGTGCGTGTGGGTGTGGGTGTGCGTGTGCGTGTGCGTGTGTCTGTGTCTGTGTCTGTGTCTGTGTCTGTGTCTGTGTCTGTGTCTGTGTCTGTGTCTGTGTGTGTCTGTGTGTCTGTGTCTCTGTGTCTGTGTGTCTCTGTGTCTCTGTGTCTCTGTGTCTGTGTGTCTCTGTGTCTGTGTGTGTCTGTGTGTCTGTGTGTGTGTGTGTCTGTGTTGTGTCTGTGTGTGTCTGTGTGTGTCTGTGTGTGTCTGTGTGTGTCTGTGTGTGTCTGTGTGTCTCTGTGTGTCTCTGTGTGTCTCTGTGTGTCTCTGTGTGTCTCTGTGTGTCCTGTGTGTGTCCTGTGTGTGTCCTGTGTGTGTCCTGTGTGTGTCCTGTGTGTGTCCTGTGTGTGTCCTGTGTGTGTCCTGTGTGTGTCTCTGTGTGTGTCTCTGTGTGTCTGTGTGTGTCTCTGTGTGTGTCTCTGTGTGTCTGTGTGTCTGTGTGTCTGTGTGTGTCTCTGGTGTGTGTCTCTGTGTGTGTCTCTGTGTGTGTCGGTGTGTGTGTGTGTGTTGTGTGTCTGTGTGTGTGTCTGTCTGTGTGTGTCTGTGTGTCTGTGTGTGTGTCTGTGTGAGTGTGTGTCTGTGTGAGTGTGTGTGCGTGTGTGTGTGTGGTGTGTGTGGTGTGTGTGTGTGTGTGTGTGTGTGTGTGTGTGTGTGTGTGTGTGTGTGTGTGTGTGTGTGTGTGTGTGTGTGTGTGTGTGTGTGTGTGTGTGTGTGTGTGTGTGTGTGTGTGTGTGTGTGTGAGTGTGTGTGTGTGTGTGTGTGTGTGTGTGTGTGTGTGTGTGTGTGTGTGTGTGTGTGTGTGTGTGTGTGTGTGTGTGTGTGTGTGTGTGTGTGTGTGTGTGTGTGTGTGTGTGTGTGTGTGTGTGTGTGTGTGTGTGTGTGTGTGTGTGTGTGTGTGTGTGTGTGTGTGTGTGTGTGTGTGTGTGTGTGTGTGTGTGTGTGTGTGTGTGTGTGTGTGTGTGTGTGTGTGTGTGTGTGTGTGTGTGTGTGTGTGTGTGTGTGTGTGTGTGTGTGTGTGTGTGTGTGTGTGTGTGTGTGTGTGTGTGTGTGTGTGTGTGTGTGTGTGTGTGTGTGTGTGTGTGTGTGTGTGTGTGTGTGTGTGTGTGTGTGTGTGTGTGTGTGTGTGTGTTTTTGTGTGTGTTTGTGTGTGTTTGTGCACGCACGTGTCGCACATATACATATACATATACATATACATATGCATATCTCCTAAATAAACGAATATTATATATATATATGTACACACACGTGCATATACACCACTGGCTCTACCTCTGCGCATATCTGCGCATACGGGTGTGGGTGTGTGCATCTCGAAGTCCACCCGACCGAAGTGCCAAGAGCCTGACACAATGTGCGCGTGTCTGAGGGAAAACAAGATGTTGGCTTCTGCTTTCCTGGGCAGCGACGGCATGGATTGACACGGCTCATGACTGCTCTGCAGCCACCTACATTCTGAGGGTCTGGCAGCCGTTCCTTGGTACCTCACAAGTGTGTTGGACTGTCACTTGACTTCTGTCGCTTGCGTCCACCTGCAGATCTACTTTGCCTGCAAGCTTTTCTGACAGTCAAAGAAGTCGAAACATTTGGCAAACTGTTGGTCTGGTGCTCTTTCCAAGGTCACGGTCAGCATCTCGCTGTAGACGGAAATGCTTTTGGAGTGCAATCCTTTTGACTGCGAACTCCTGGATTTCTGAACAAAGCAAAGGGCCAATACCGCAACCTAGAATGAACACCATCGCCAGTCCTCGCCCTTGTGCTTCGGCCGCCAACATCGATGGACTGTTCCCTGCGCGCCTTTCCCGAGCTGCTCCGAGAGTATGTACCTCCACAATCACACGAAGTGACAGCTCAGCTGGTGTCATGATTTCACCAACCAGGGAAAGGAAGTTACAAACAGATGCTTCGAGGTTTCCCTGCAGCTTTGAGCAGCAGCAGGTCTTCCGAAGTCACAGTCCACAATACGTGCATTGGAAAGGCTCAGTTTGTCGCAGCATGTTTCTGTTCAACTGAGACATTGCATGTGGACCATGTGGGGCACGGGTCATCCTCCGGACCGAAAAGACGCCTTTCTGCCTCGAAACAACAAGGGCCAACTGGTTTTCCCATACCATCCTTTCGACAGCCGCAGCTTGTACATGTCGCAGCAGTTGAAGGAACCCGGCACTAGCCCGTGCGATCAGATCAGCGATGGTCCTTGACAAGCAAATGCTTGACTCCTTGTGCAGATGAGCTCAGATGTCGCCCGGTTCGTGCCTGGCCTGTCATCTCCAGCCTGAACCGCAGAAGTCAGAGGCGGCTGCTTTTGGCAACGACTATATCAGAAGTATGCTAATGGCAGGGTGAGCGTGTCGCAGGCTTTGCACGCCAGGCCCTCTAGTCTGAAAACGTCCTCTTTCACTCTGTACATCCAGATATCCTAGTTATGCCGGCTAGTATAATACAGCATTATGAATACAGTATTATTAATACTATAGCAACTGAGCTAGTGACCGCTGGGGGCCGGCAAGCCTCCACGGCCTCGCCAACTTCCCGCGCGACCCGGCTCCGGGCCCATTGTGAAGCAGTGCTCGCAAACAGCAAAGGCTCGCTTGTCTGGCTGATGTGCAACTCCGTGCCCGGCCTTACCCATCCGTCGCTTAGGTAGTTCCTGTCCCCGATCGCTGGAACAGAGCGGTACAAGACGGCCCCGGATCTCCCGCGATCACTTCGACTTGCATGTACGGCCTTCAGCAGAAGCTCTGCAGCCAAATCCTGCCAGTTCTCGCAAGTCGTCTTTCGAGCATGAGGCTGCGGGAAGTGGCTCCGAGGCCTCCCATTTCTCCATGACCTGCATCAGCAACACTGGCCAACTCATGTTACTCAATGCGTCTCAATGCTACGGCATAGAAAAGCAACAGGCGCTGGGTTGGAGGGGCACTGCTTGATTGGGTGCACACTGACGTTGACTCTGCCTCAGCCTGTAAATCTTGCCCGGCCTGCTGTAGTGTCGATGCACCCACTCTGGAGCACCTGATTGGTGCAAGGGCACTGGCAGCCATCTTCTACATTGCGCGGAAGCACATCCTGTCGATGCCCGGTCTCTCAGCCAGATGCCAGGCGCGAGTCTTGGGCAAGTACCTAGGGCCGGCATGGATGGGCCGGCATGCTGATAATCCGCATGCTTTTGTTGCTGGGCCAGACAGTCCAGCAGTGCTTGCAGTGCAGCGCAGCTCGGAACATCCAAAATACGCAACATAGCAAGTCACGCTGACAGTGACAGTGTCTCAAGCCATTCCTGGCGATCAATAGCCCTGAGATGTTCCCCAGACCATGTGCACATGGACAGATTGATTTATGTCCTCCAGGCCAGGAATCTGCACAGACTCCTTGACAAGTTGAGTGGATTCTCTGGTCCAGGATCGTGCAGGCGCAAGGATGCCTTCTCGGTCTCCTCTGGTATCTCTGGCTGCCGTGGCTGCGGACTGCTCGGTCGTGCCTCGCGACCCAGCATCGTGCAGTACGCGCAGCCGCGCCGCCCCTCTAAGACGCCGACCTCTTCTGGCCTACACAGCGAAAGCAGAACGACTGTTCGGTTCTCCTGTTTCAGCATCCTCTCCAGAGACCAGCCTCGCCAAGGATCGGAGCCTTTGGGGCAGTGCGCGTGCGCAAGCACGTTTAGCCATGTTTGCAGCGCGATGCGTAGAGCCTCTGGGCCAGTCTTCGGAAGACCTCACCGGCACCTCAAAACGTAGGAAGTCAAGCCTCCCTTCCCAAATGTGCAACCCCATCAAGCACTAAGCTCAAAATCACATCCAGGCTTCCGAACTTTCCTCGTCGAAGGCCACGCCATGGGATATGAGGAAGGGCAGCCATGCCTTGTGGGAGCTGACGCATGGAACTCGCAGCTCATCTGAAGAAATGTAAGATGTCGATAACAGTCACCGCCAGCGGTGGTGGCCTGCAAAGCATCAACGGCCTCGGGGTCCACCGGGGCCAAATGCCTAGGCAACGCAGACAAACAAGTGACGGAGCGGACCAGCAAACGACATGTTCACAGAACTCAAGCTCGCCGCACTGGGTGGTAGATTTACGATTCCCATCCGTACAGGAACTTTGTGCAGGACATCAGCTACTGGCGCAATACAGCCCGACCGGCGCTCAGAGACTCAGGCTCCAGGACCTCGTCATCGAAAGGCACATCAGGCAGCTCCAACTTCAGCGCTCGCCTGCACACGGACACACTCGATGGCATTCGCCCGAAATGAGAGAGCCCTAGGCCCTAGAGGCCTGAGGAGTTCGATGGTTACCATAAGCAGCCTGACAGCCGAAAGACAGCGTCCAGGAAGTGGCATCATACTCGCGACTAGTGCTGCATCCCAGCCTGGCTGTGACACTGGTGATAGTAAACTAGCCGGCCCACGAAACTAAATCGTGAGCTGTAGACTAGCCGTGACATGATATGAATCCCTGCATGGAGGTGCTAGGATCGACTGTTTTTGACTTGTTTCGACCGGCTGCGCTATAGAAAAGTGAAGGGGCGACTGAAAGCGTGTGGGTGTGCATCCCTCCCTCTGTCTGCAATTTACGTTTATGTATATGCATATCTGTATATCTGCACGGGCTGCAAGAGGCAACGTTGTCTTCGACACTTGGCTCCACAGCATCCGGGCAGACACCCAGGTGCCTTTTGAGTAGTAGCTGTGGGTGGCTTTAGTTGCGCTTGCCACTCTGCCATAATAATGTCGTGAAAGGTTGCAGAAAGCCAGTCGACTGCAACATGCGCATCCGCTAGCTCAGCTACCCGAGCCATACGGCCGCGCCACATAGCTCCTCAACTGGCGACTAGACGAGTTTAACAAGTTTGTCCGAAGATCGTGCCAGCACAGCGTGCTTGTTCCGAACCAAGCATCCACTTCGCACTAAGGGGTCCGCAATCCCGGGCTGAGTTATTTCATTATTTCATTCCAAACTGACAAGCTTGGAAATCTAGGTCCAGGAACAACTTCACACAGTCGCGGATTGTGGCCGCTAGCCTCTCCACTGGCCTCTTTCGGCATTGGCCATGGGCAAATGCTGTGCACAGCCCGGCCGCACTAATTTCCATCATCAACATAATAAGTTAAAGAATTCAAAGTCGCCAACGTCTCGGCCTTGGGTCACCGCAGATTGGCTGTCTCGTCCACTGTTCCTGCTACCAGTACCTACCATGGTCAACCTACCACTCCTTCACCCGTGCTGTCGCACGTCACCGGCGACGGCGTCGCGACCCGTCGGCAGATTGGCAAGCCGTTTTGGAACTCAGTACTCGAACTTTCGAATTTGGAGCCTTGTGCTCACATTTGCCTGATGAATTCTATAAATGTCATACAAACCTAGCTGGGCTCCATGATGGCTCCATGAACCACTGAGCTGAAACAAGGCCTCGGGAGGCATGCCCATCTCAGGGTTAGTCTTAACGTAGTAGTTTTGAGAACATCTCAGAAGCAATCACAAACACAGAATCGATCTTCTCTTGCCAGATGCACCTGCATAAATCCGGGGCCCTCACACTCCTTTCCAAGACACCCTCCAATGCGGTCTGCATAAAGCTTGAATGCCTGACAAACAAAGGAAGGAAGCACGATTAACCGACGCCGCTGCAGCCCTTTGTTCTGGAGTGTCACCACGGCCTGAGACCGCTAAATCACGCTCGGGTCCAAATGCACACACCTCAGAAGTAGGAAGAGTTCGCAGGAACCACACTGAGACTCGGCGTCACTTCGCCCAGAGCATGAAGATTTCAAAATTTGGTGCTTTTCGCGCTGGTTGGAGATGAGGTCTTTATTCCCAAATCCGCGGCCGCCCTCTCATGGGGCCTTCTTCGTTACAGAGCGAGTCCTCTGACTTCAACTTCTGTCCTGTAGGTTCTCTGCATGGAACTTACACCACCTTGACGGGGTGATGTCGATCTAGGATCAAAGCCTGAACATGCTGCATCTTGTGCATGGAAAACATCACCCAAATCCGGCTTCTGAGACAAGTCTGAAGCCTCCAGGCTGCCACAGCGATAGCACGGGGCACGTCGAAAGCGCCAAGACCGAGCAGTTCACTGTATTGGCACAAGTGGCGCATAAGATTTCGACAGCTAATGAAAAAACAGGTCTCTGGGTGAGATGTAGGGGGGAAGACGAGGATTAAGTATCAACAACATGTTGCGATACATAGGACGGCTTCTTATGATATCTTAATCGAGGAAGATGCTTGAGACAAAGAATGTACAGAGCCAAAGGACCCAGACTTCAAGGCCATCAGAGATGTAAATTTAAGCCGCGGGGTCTTTACTCTTCCCCTGCACTTTTCAGCACCACAGAACATGCCAAGATATGTTCTGCGGCAGTCAGAGATGGCCTCCGCCCTGCGCCCACGCCAGCTCTCCCACGGTATGGTCCGGAGGCGAGTGTGCAATCTGCATTGCCATGGGCCTAGGCCCAGGCTTGAGATCTTGACATCCCGGCAACATCCTGAAATGCCAGGAATGGGCCACCTGGTGAACAATTACCCGTAATTACCCTAATTCCCCATGACTGCTGGTGTTTCCGGATCTTGATGTTATTCCGACGTCTCACCTGTAGCTCACAACTGCAGGGATGGAAATTTCGAGAGCGTGGGGCGATCCGAACGAGAAGCAAACCTGCCTAAGAGATCCATCCTACTGTAAGGGGCATTTACACCCACCAACCAACCCACCCACAGGGGGGGCAACGCTGCAGGTAAGAGTGTTTCTTGTCTACTGTCGTTGCTTTCGAACCACCGTTTCAGCCACTTCCATTCGCGCATTGGGGACATTGGCGGATGTCACGTCTGACGTTGGTCATTGCAGCTCGGGTTTGCCCATTCTCACGGACTCAGAAGTCGGTCAGTGTGAGTACAGCTGTAGAAAAGGATCATCGAAAGAGCGCAGGAGCTTGCACAGCACAGTGCAGTCTGAGGTCCACGGCCACTGGTTGCCGCCCATGGCCTCCACCTCCACGCCCGGCTGGCTGCTGATCCAAGCACGGACGCTCCCGTCATTGCGGCGCCCATCCTGCCAGCAAACTGCTTCGGAGACAGGCCCACACAGATTACTAAGCTACCGCCGTCTCAGGCGATCCTTGCGAAGGAATTGGTTGTAGCGGTATGCGAAAAGCCCCGCAACCTCAAAGCAGCACGCGCTCCCTGATGCATGTGGAGTGCCACGGGGGCAACCTACCAGACATAGCAGAGACAGATGTCTTGCTTTCCTGACTGCTGGCACAAGGATGCTCTGCACGGGATCCGTTCAACAGCCCGGAGCACCAGGACTGCGTGTATTGGCCGGGAGTCGGCAACGGATCAGCAACACCGGAGAGTCGAATGAAATCAGGGGCGTCCGCGACAAAAACATAACAAAGCCATCACGACAGTGGCCGTACAACAGTCCACCCTTGGCATCCGGCGGACGGGCCAGGAACATGTCGCATACCATGCTCCTGGAGACATTGATTTCACCAAACTCCCCTGATCAGGTGAGCTCTCACGCCCAGAAGGCAAGACGGTTGTCCACTCAAAGGCTTCGTAGTAGGCGTCCTTGAGGTGAGCGTAAAGCTCCTTCCTCCAAAGCAACTCAGAATAATGGCTCGTACCCTGTGCAGTTGCTTGGGTTGCTTCAAGGACGTCTGCAGATCGCTCGGAAGGACCCTGTGCATCAAAGAGCATAACTGATGCCTCATCTGCACCTCCACATTCTGCTTCTCTGCCTGAGTGCGGACTAGTACTTTGCAGGATGCAGTGCCGTTGAGACTAGATTGCAAGAAATCCGCGGAGCAGAAGGCAGCGACAAAGGCACTGGCCCGGCGGCGCGATTCGCGTGCGGGCGGGCCACCCAAGCTCCGACCTCTCACTGCTTCGCGACTTTGCAGACTTCGCAGAGCGAAGCGTGGCCACACTTTGGAACCCGCCTGCCCCGCCTCCAGCTCCAGTCGTCGTTTTCGCCTCAAGTCAGCTTGAACGCAGCTCCCTCGGTCCCCTCTGATACGGCCGAGTCACGGGAGCTGGGTGGCTTTTCGAGCTCCACTCCCACTCCCAAGCTTCAGGACAGGGATGCTGCCACCTGAGTCCCCATGGGCTCACTTCAGCTGCAAGTCGTTACTACTTGCCGGGCGCTTCTGATGCACTGTGTCCAGGACCACTGGTTGGACCACTCGTTCGTCCAGTCCTGGTTGGACCACCTCTCCGAATGCCGCGGCTGGAGCTGCTGGCCTGCTGACCCATCTGGAGGCTCTCGCAGAAAGCCCAACATCTTCCAATTGCGACATGTCAGAACCTGGCCTTGTTCACGGTCCTCCTCCGAATGAAAGAGCCTCGTCAAACGCGCAGCGCACGAGTTGCCACTAGTCCTCTTGCATCCGTGATTTATCATCGCTGTGCATCCCGCCCCAAAACACACGGCATACACCATTCTCAAAGAATCTCGAGATTGCCAATCCTACAAATTCTTATCGGGTGATTCTGAGTTTCCCTCGGCCGACCGCTCGCCGAAATATGGGTGTGGACGGCTACGGCTAAGGCCGCTACAGCTAAGGAGGAGCAGGGGGAGCTGCTTCCAAAACTGATCCCGTGGCTATAACTTCAAAGGGTCATGCTAGTCATGCTACTTCAATGAAAAGCTGTCGCCTCTGATCGCAAGTGCTCACTGTCCGGACTTGGCCTCGTGTTCGGTAGACCACATTTTTCTAACTAGGCCTTGTGCAGGAAGTACATTCGCTTCGCATCAAAGATCTTGAGCATCGCTGAGGTGAGATGCCAACACCACACAACGCAACAACGATTTTCGGTCATGCGTACCACACATCCGCAGCATCTACTCTCCTCGTTCTCAAATTGTCACGAACTTGGCCGAAAATCGAAAAAGCAGCCCTTTTGAATGGTGTGTGTGATTTCACAGAGTATTTCGTTGGAAGAGGACCGATGTGCAGAGTCGGCATTGAGCAGCTGTGCGAATGCCGATAGGAAAGGTAAAGGCAACTGGGGCCAACACTTCAAGACTTGGGCGTTCCACGTCGCCACAGACCGACAGCTCAAACGGAGCCGAAGCGCCGGAAACTCGACCTTCTCCACCTGAGGCAGGGCGGGAGAGGGAGTGGTCAAGAATGACATCTGTGCCCGCGGCCTTCTCCTGTTCACCACAGACCTATGGAGAAGGCCGCCAAGATTGGATTTTGCTCGGCCCTCCATTCCGCGCAAGCAAGGCCTTGCACCTGACGAACTGGCTGTGGAGCGACATAGGTCCTTGGCTCTTCATGGCCGAGGCTTCGCCGCTAGAGACATCCACGCTTCTCTCTCCGGAACTGAGCCCCAGCCAAAGCCACTGTCGGTTTCAGCCACGCTGTCAACCCTGAGTCGAGAAATGTCTAGGAGTCTAGGACGAGGATCTTCTAATGCAAAGCTACAAGTACGGGACCTGGCGCCTCCTCCGACTGAGTGTCGGACCCTTCGAGGTTGGTTTCCTGGACAAGTTTTACTGTTACAACGCTGGCATGAAGCCTCCTGCAAGCCGTGAATGCACAGCTCCATTCACCTCATCTACCTCCTCCGGGAGCTCGTTGTTTGCTTCGGACTCCTCAACAAATAGGAGTCTGCGTCTGAACTTGAGTAACCAGCGAGATGAGCAAGAGGCAGGAGGCACGCATCCCCTGGGCTTCAGACGCTGTCCGTCTCGGACCGATCACCTCCAAACACTGAAGCAAAGAAGGAGCCCGGGCCAACAGCCTTTTCCCACCAGCCTGGCTCAGCCTCTGTGTTCAGCAGCTCGTTCATCTGCCTCACTGCTCTGACTCGTGAGGACTGGATCTCTTCACCCCAGACATCACCGAATCCAGATCGTACAGTCGTATAGGCCCTTGACGCCAGCATTTCCGTCTCCAAGTTCCTCCACAGTCATAGAGGCAAAGAAGACCATGTTAAAGTAACAAACTGTATGAAAAGAGCTTGCTTCGGCGCAGCCTCTTAGAGAGCACACCTGCCACCTCCTCTGCCTCCTCTGCCTGTCATGTCGGGATCACTTCACTAGAAGGCTGCAAACGAAGTACCCTGTTCTCTGAAGCTTTGTCTTGATGCGTCTCAGAAAGGTTTTCACGCGCCTCGGTTTCCTCGGTCTCCTCAGTTTCCAGGTCCTCAGTCTCTGGGTCTTCGGTCTCCTTCTCGCTGCTGGCTTTGCTGGAGGTCTTCACCTAGCGCGAACCGGCGCAGCACGCAAAGCTCAGCATCTGCGAGGAAGATGCAAGGTTTCAGCTTCTTGCGAAGCACAAAAATTCATGGAGCTATATATATTATAATATATATATATATATATATGTATATCCAGATTAGGCGGCTCTTCACTGCAATGGCTGCCTCCAATCCAGGATCGCATTTCTGGACCACCTGAGCAGGTTGCAGCACTCCAAATGCCACAGAAACGCAGCTCTTTGCACACTCGCGAAAACAAAACATCCATAGACCCATTACAGCACTCCACCCTTCCCCAGTGTGCGCATGGGAACGCGAACCGAAAAGAGCCCTGAATAGAAATGTTCAAGTAGTTACTTCACCAGCGTTGCCCACCTCTGGGTCTGGCATCAGCAGACAGTCACAAAGCTCGGTGGCCTGCAAAGGCATTCTCAAATGCCGCTGTGCCATGCTGATCATGCTGTGCCATGTGACAGGAACATCAAGACTATGACGACACTTCAAAATACTTCACGGATCCTCGAGGGACAGCGTCTCTTCAAGGCTCCTGACACCGAGCAGCTCCGTGTCTGGCACAACCGTCCCTGCCAGAGACCCTTCCTGAGGCGCTCCATGGAGGTCAAGCACTCGCGTAGCTGCCGTGGTAGGCGGCAGGCGATGCTCAGAGGAGCAGTACCTCCAAGCAAGGAGCACCCCACTGCACACAAGCAGCAGATCAAGGAGGACTCGAAAGAAGCGAGGAGTCAGCGAGACTGTATCCAGATCCCTGACATGGCACCATCCGGGGGCAAGGTCCCTCGAAGGAAAGCGGCATGGAGAAAGAGCCGGCCACCAGTGACTGCAGGGACGCTCACTCACTTTTCCCTGGTTCCGAAGGTGCACACTGCCACTGCACTCCTCAGCCACCCGCCTTGGGAGTCCTCCTTAAAATGCGACGAGCTGTACTTCACATCGCACCTGAAACCGAAGCATAACTGACAAAAACGACCTCAAGGAGTCAAGCTGGTTAGGTCGCTGTCACCCCACTTTAAAGCGCGCAAGCACTGAGCCATTTGTAAGCTCCACAAGTGTCCGGCACGATCGGATGCCCCATCGAGGCCTCAGCACTCCACATGGTATGTAGCTCGACAGCTACAGTCACCACCTAAGCTTCCGTCCATGTGGAGACGGATCTGCGCAGGAAGGTGAGTGGGGGTTGCATCGAACACGTCAACCAGCTCACTCGCGTGATGCAAAGCGCGCCTGATGTTGCCGTCCATGGTCAATCTGGACTTGGACCAGGCTGTATTCGGTCGAGCCTGAGTGCTCCGATTAGGCTTTTTCACCGCCCCGGCCTCCCCGGTGGAGCGACGCTGACTGAGGCTGTAATGTACCGCAACAGACGCAATCTTCAAGTCACCGGCCTCCTGCGGTCTGTTGCCGGAAGTATCCCAGCACTCGATACCTACCAGAGCGAAGTCTCCACATCGTTCTGACATCGTTTTTGGCATCGAAGCTGAATGGACTCCATCTCGGCAATCGCAAAACAGGCCGCCCTTTTCCTGGGGCTAGACCGGCACTCAAGATCTGGAGGATATTGCCAGTGAAACCGAAAAGGAAGGCGTGTTGCTGGTAATCGCTGTAAGTTGTTCAACTGAAACAAGGCAACTGCACAAACCAGGCCGCAACGCGACCCTGCAGCCGGGAGCCAATTCGGAAGTTGATCTTTTGCAACTTCCGGACTTAAATCCGCCAAAGTCCAGTGTTGTTGCG